GGGAGGCAAGTCCCCACACTTGACTTTGTAAACAGATTTAGGTCCCCACAAGTATAGTAATGCCACACACACACACACACACACACACACACACACACACACACACACACACACACACACAAAGAAAGAAAGCGAATGGAAGCAGTTGGACTCATAAAAGATAAGACTATTGCTTTTGATAAAAGATGCAATGTGAAGTGGACAAATGTTCCTTTGAGACGTTTTTTTTTTTACTGTGAGAAAGCGTGTGCTGGTACTCGTAGAATTGAGGAGAAACATCTCTTCTCACATAAAAACTTGTATATGAACGATCATATTTGATCAAAATGAGACAACTTGAACATAGGTGTTGTTGCTTAGAAAACAAGTCAATTAGCAGGACATTAATTGACTTTTTAAGATGACTCTTTGCGATGTCCCGCCCCTAAGCCCACCACGCACAACGTGATGGAGCGGTAGCCAATAGAAGCGCAAGTGTTACATAATGATGAAACTAAACTCTACAGGAAAAGGAAAAACCCCAAAAGGTATAATGCAACTTTTTAAACAAAAATGCCAAAACATGCCCTACCTTTTGCTTCTGTAAGATCTATTTGACCCTTTTAGGTTTTCTATTTACAATTCATTTGACCTTGTGTTTGGTGCATAAAATAAATATATTAAAAGCTATTTAAATTCATGCAAAGAGCTGAACTGACAACGTAATCAACAAAAACTGATCCAATAAAGAATTCTATAAAAAAAAAAGAAGTTAGGATTTGCTGCTTTTCTATTTCTTATGTGATTGTAAAGTGAATATATGTGTGTGTGTTTTGGACTGTACTTGGACTGTGTTGTTAGCAAATGAATAGATAAAGATAATAAAGACAGAGAATAGAACGTAAAATACATAAAGAGAGCCTGGATTTGTGCGTGTTGAAAAAGTAAATAGGTCTTATGCAATGATTTCTCTGGAAAGGGTGACTGTCCAGAAAGTTTTTACTCCGTGGGAGATAAACAAACAATCCCACATTAGTTCAGAGCTGGATTAGTTACATAAGACCTTTTTTTAGGCGGCACACACCATAAGGCAGCGAGGAGGTCATGCGTATCTTTTCTCTCAGTCCCCCTCACTTGTGCCTTCTGTTCACACTGACTGTGCCACACACACACACACACACACGCACGCACGCACGCACGCACGCACGCACGCACGCACGCACGCACGCACGCACGCTTCCACCCCCTGCACGCACGAGGCATCCCCCTCTCCCCTGTGCAACAACCCCTCTGCGGGCCAACTGGCAGCGCCTCACTTCCTCTGAGCACAATGCCTCAGCCAATGTGTTATGAAATGAATCTATACTGGAGTGGATTTCTTGTTGATCCTAATGACATAATCTCTCTCTGTATGTGTACGGTCATTATATCAGTAAGACAGTAATGGTTCTCTCAACTGTATGCATTAAGGCTGTAACTAAGATTATAGCAGATTGTTAGTGTGACCTTTGGAGGGAACTTTTTAACATAAACAGTTTGGAAATTGGGAAGAAATGCACACTGTCATTTCAACGCATGTTTACTTAATAAAAAGACTTGAACGATTGTTGCTGATCATTCTTTTGGTCAAGGGACAATGTTCATGGTCTGCCTGAGAAAGTTGGTTTATAAGTAAGTATTATATATAGGTTAAACAAGAGCAGATGAAGAGTGTTAGAAACAGTTTTATTACCATGAATACAAACTAGAGCTAGGGCTGCTCGATTATGGCAAAAATCATAATCTCGATTATTTGGGTCAATAATTGATATCACGATTATTAAAAATGATTATCCATTTACTTTGAAAACATCAATTTATTGTAAAAAACAATGTGTAGTATGTTTTTACCAGTTGATTACCCTGAACGTTAAGTATAATTCAATTGAAAAAACAATACAAAAATATATAATTTTTACTAATAATAATTTTCTTTTAAATAAATAAATAATAAAATAAAAAAAGTAAACTGTATCCATCCAGTAAACTGTAGTGAACTTGGTAGCCTTAGAGATTTACATTAGTGTTAATAGCTTTGTTATATTTCTTAAACTTGGGCACAAAGTGTGTTTGATTGAAGGGGATTTGTATTTTAATGTTATTTTAATGTATGTTTTTTTTCATTCAATGCTGTGGATTTTGGGCCCCAGCTTCTCAACCAGGCCTGTTGTTCATTGGCTGCAGCAATCCACCAAGGAAGATCTTAATAGATTTCACATGAGTGAAAAGCAGCTTAACTGCATCAAAACAGGATTGGCAGATAGTGATGTCTGGGTAAACAGAAAACACATTGTATGTAAAACAATGATGGAGACTCAGCTTCATTTACAGTCGTTACCCGACTCCATGCTGACTGTGTTGATGTTAGGAGGATAAACAAGTTTCACAAATGATCCCATGAATACAGTGAAACTTCTCAGTTTTGCTCAACAAACACTAAACATTGGGAAGAATGTTGACTTGACAGTGAATCAAAGATAGTGGGGAGATGGGAACATGGCCTTGTTCTTTGCTAGTTTTATTAAACTAGGGTTATCAGGAAGAACAATCAGGGCGTAATCCTCACCTGATGTGTCCCAGAGGCTGAGCTCAACACGCTGATCTTCAATATCCAGACAGGAGGTGTAGTTCTCAAACACAGTGGGGACGTAGGTCTAGAAATGGAAAATAAAGAGAAAGAGGTTTAAGGATTATTTAACACAAATTCACATAAAAATCTAACAAAATTATTATTTATTTAGAGTATAAAAGGCCAACAAAATGAAGATGTCAAGGTTATTAGCTGTCCATTTTCTGAGTTGGACCAGCAGAAACATTTGTGAAATATATATTTATTTAAAATAAAAAAGGTAAGATCTTCATGTGTGAAGCTTGTATTATTTTTTTAATGTCTAAAAACAATAGTTTGGGTTAATGAGCAGTTATTAACATTTCTGTTAATTAAATTGATAGACTAAGCAGTGTTTACATGTATGACCTGAAGTCTCTTAGTAATACCATTTCCACGACGAAAGCTTTTAATGTAGCACTGTCAAAAATACTAATCCAATGAAAATCCTTCAGTCAAATATCCTTTACTACACAATGACTGTTAATCCCATTATAGCCTACTATATGGGTTATGTAGCCCCTTGGGGGATTGATGAATATAATATGATAAGATTAAATAAAATAAGATATGATAAGCCTATATTGATGGCCAAATGGAAAATATGTCACAGAATAGAGGAAGTTAATAATAAAGATGTATACAAAAACAATGTAATTATTTTTTAAATATCAAAGTTTGCATTAAATTAAGACAATGATGTGTGGTAAAGGGACAGTAGTGTGATTGAAAAATAATATCAGGATGAATACATAAAATAACTTTGGACATATTTTATAAGAGCTATGTCCCAAATATAATATGACAGGTTAGATAAAAGAAGCCTTCGTTAATCACCAGATGGAAAATATTGTTGTTGCAGCATAAAGAACAATAATAATAAAGAGGTATATCATTTTAAAATAATTAAAATATCAGTGTTTAAACATATACCTGAAGTCCCTAACAAGAGTGTCATTCCCAATATGAAAGGTTTTTATTTAGCACTGTAAAAAATACTAAAGCACCAGTGACTGTAGTGTGATTTAAAATAATATCAGAAAAATAACTTTGTTCTGTCTAAAGGCTGTCTCTCCATACCTCTGGGTAGCAGTCCTTGGCCAGCACTTGTAACATCGCTGTTTTACCGCATTGGACGTCCCCGACCAGCACGAGCTTACACCTCACGACACACGGCTGCGTGAGTCTTCTTTCCTTCATGGTGCAGAACAATAACACGAGCAGACTCAAACAAAAGTCACACAGGTAATAATAACACCGGTGAAGTTTGGTAAATCCTCTCAGTTAAAGGCAGCTCTGCTCCTCTTCTTCCTCAGGCAGTAAATCAGTCAGTGAGGGAAACACTGCGGAACTTTATATTGTCGCGCCAACCAATAAGCGCAGTGCGCGAGCCGAGGGAGGGAGGGGGGGAGCAGTGCACGAGGTCTCTCTTCTATCTGGTTGTAATGGTGGATGGTGGGCTGCAGAGCCATGGCAGGGATGTAAGAAATACTGATGTTCCCTCAATGCATCACCTAAACCAGCATACAACTCTTATGTCATACTATCAGGACGTGAGAGAATTACTCAGATATTTAAGTTATATTAGTTTTACCACAGTGTGTATAAATACTCAGTTAAAAATAAATCCCTGAATTCAACATTTTACTGTGGTAAAAGTGCAGTATCAGCATTAAAATATACTCAAACTACTCAAATTAAAAGCACGAAGCTACTTTACATTTTTATGCCAATGATACCGTGATGTATTGTGCAGGTCCCTCATTTAAGGAGGCTGGTGTTAAATTACAGGCTGTCTTTAACATTATTCAGACTCAGCTCGCTGAGCTTAAGCTTCTTTTAAATGTTGAGAAAACCAAGGTAATGATTTTTTCAAAAGCAAAAAAGACTCCAGAGACTGCTTTGGATATTGTTAAGTACTAGAAGTGGTTACCTGTTATAAATACCATATGGCTTGATGATTGTCTTTTAAACTTCAGGTCATTAATCTGCTTAAAAAGCTGAGGGTTAGACTAGGTTTCTTTTTCAGAAACAAGTCCTGTTTCTCGCTTGAGGCCAGGGAAAGGCTAGTCTCTGTGACCTTTTTACCTGTGCTATGGTGATTTGATCTATATGAATGCACCTGCCCATTGCCTGGAAAAGTTAGATGCCGCCTATCACAGTGCTCTGAGATTTGTTACTAACTGTAAAGCACTTACTCATCACTGTACCCTGTATGCCAAGGCAGGTCTGCCTTCACTAACTGTACGGAGGCTCAGTCATTGGTACATGTTTATCTATAAAGCCATGTTGCCAACTTATATATGCTCTTTGATCTCACAGAGAGTGGCAAGTAGCTATTGCCTGAGATGTGTTTTTATTACATGTGCCAAGTGCTAGGACTGTTTTAGGTACTAAAGCTTTTATGTGTGCTGCTCCTCTTGGAACACTATGCATTTTTTTTTTAAACTGAGCATTTTGGTTCCCTTGCATCATTTTAAAGCTCGGATAGATGAAATGTTATTAGATATCTGTCATTGTGAATAGGTTGCTAATGCATACCCCTGTAATTATGTTGTATTGATGTCCTTTTTGTTTTCTGTTGTTTTTATGTGTAACCAACGTGCTGCAGGTCTCCCTTGAAAAAGAGATTGTTGATCTCAATGGGATTTTCACCTGGTTAAATAAAGACTACACTCATTGGGTAGGATCATGCTCATTTCAGAATCATATAGGGAGTATCATTATGTATGCAATAAGGTACTTGCAGCTGAAGGTGGAACAGCTTTAATAATTGTATAGGCTACTGTTGGGTAGCTTAAAAATTAAAAAAAAGAATTAAAAAGGGGATTCACTTGTAATTCAATCAGTCCTTTTAGCATTTGTTTTTTTTAAAGTAACTAAACTAACTAAATGTCAAGGTGCTTGCACTTTAATAGGTCCATTGTATACTTCTACTCCACTTTATTTCAGAGGACAACATTGCACCCTTTGCTCTCTAAAGATAACATTAAGGGACGGATGACAGTGTGAAGGGGATTAAGAAGGATTTTGTTCCTCTCATGTCCTCTTCTTGTAAAAACCTATCTCTGGTTAAATGTCTAAAATATCCATGTATGCTTGTTTAGTCTGTGTGCAGTATATATAGTCACAAGGCCAGAAGTCTCCAGAAAGTGTGTCATCTGTTATCTTTCTTGTGTCACAGGGTGTGCTCATAGTATCAACTGTAGATTTAAAAAAGTGTTTGGAATTTCATGACCTCAAAGTCTTGTAGTAGCCTATCTCAGTTCAGAGGTCAAAGCTTCAGTGAAATGTCATTTTGATTAATGGGTTATTGGTAATCCCTCTGTTTATTTAAATTGTATTGTATGTATGCCATTTTTTTTACATGAAACATATGACAGTTTGTGTACATGTTTATATAACAACGTGTGGTGTCCAGGGTCTATACCTACAACAGACAACAGATGGCTTCATCAATCTGAAGTATAACAGAGATTCAAGAGTGTGAGCCATTTGGAGATGAAGTGGAGCGTGGCTAGTCGTACAAAACACAAATGGAAACAACAGAGGGCTCTTTGATGCCAGTACAGCGTGAAACTGGACGGGGATATGCATTGCACCTGCTGCCAGTTTGAAGAGAATAGTCCCTCACTGTCTTGCTTCAAAAATGTATATCTTTGTGCTCTTACACACATGTACATCACACACATGCTAACACCTATTTAAATGCTTCACTCCCTCATGCTGCATTTCATGCTTTTCCGGTTATTACCCGTCCCCTTGTGTGTTATGTAGTTTTTTATGTATGTAAACGGTCTGCAAAGTCACAAACCCTCAAAGTACACCCTGTAGCGAGTAAAACTCTAACACAGAAAAGACCTGTCTATGCTGCCCCAGAACGCCTCGTTGGAGATTTCTCTTTTTCCATTGTTTTCTTCCTGGGTATAGTGACGTGCCCATACCCAAATGGACCCATTGGTCCACATGGACCAATCCGTGGAGCCGTTACNGGGGGGGGGGGCAGGAGCTCCAACAAACCGTTTAGGACAGAGAGTGAATACACATACAGAGATGCTGTATGAGAAACCAATCTGAGTTTGGAAAATTGCACAATATAAATGTATTTTAGTAGACCTCAACAATAGAATTATGATCAGTAGAAATGGCCATGACATGGGACCTTTAAAGTTACACATTTGGTAAATATGTACTTCCTTGCAGAGAGTTATGGATCTTCTGTGGCTCTGCAGTGTAAAGATAAAGATATGCATAGTCCCCAGTGACTGGATCTTATTGGCTTTGTTGATACTCTGACTTTTTCTTTAGCACTCATGTTCACATTTATAGATTTGAGAGAAACATCTTAAGAAGGGTCGGATGCAGACAGTGACATGACATTTGCTTTGAGTGTTCATGTCCTTCAGGATGATTTGTAAAAACGTGTTAATCCTTTCACTTTTCATGTATCGAATGAAATGTTAAATCATGCCCAACTATTTTTAAAACCGGTGAAAATCCTATCAGTCTTGGCTTCATTTTGAGTTTAGTAATAATTATTAGAATCATAGAGAAAGTGCAAACATTTTAGAAAGAGGCAAAAATACATGTAAATAAAAATAGGAAGTTGACAACCAGTGAACTATAGCACTCAATAATAGCAATAATAAATGGTATAAAAAGGTATCAATCTTCCCATCCTACTCTTGGAAAGCAAGAACATTGGAAAACTGTCCAACTTTCCATCAAATATAGACCAATACCATAGGGCTATTGCTGACGATGGGACTTGTATTGTTTAGAAATCAGTAATGTTGATCACCATGATTGGTCACATGATCACTTCAGACTGTAGTTGAGAGGATTTGTCCTGACCTATGTGTCCACATTGTTTTCTTGATGAAAGGTGGCACACTTTGGTCATCTGAAGATGTGTTGACCTTTTCCTCCCCAAACTTTGACTCCTCGTGTTCAGTGAGATGACCCATTCATTCTGCCCAATGTGGATTATGACAACCTGAAGACAGGCTGACCTAGATTTATTATAGACTCTGCAGAAAATTACATTTTCACCATCAGTTTCACCTTAGCTAACTCTACCCTACATTTATTGCGTACTGTTTTTGTCTAGAGGGAAATACTGTTCTTTGAACTCAAATACCTGTATTTATCAGCTTTAAATAAAAACTAGGATTAAGATCTCTTTAATGGAGAATATAACGGATAGTCCATAATCAATATAGTCATAAATTATAGTTTAATAAATCAAACAAAAATAGTAAAACAAATGCAAATAATAATCAATAAAGTCAAAATCAGCACCACCTCAAAGAACATCAATAATAAAAACATGCTTTTACATTAATTCAGAAATAATAATCAAATTATAAGAAATCCCATTTGCCATTATGCGGCAAATAATATATTATTTTACATATCTTCCGGCGCAGATTGAAAACTCATCTCTTTCGACTCCACTTCGAGCAATAAAATGATTAACAAAGCTCTTATATACTAATAAAGGACTGGCTTATCTAAAGCTGATGTACTAATATGGTTCTGTTTTCTTCAAGTTTGTATCTTCTTGGTCGAATGCACTTATTGTAAGTCGCTTTGGATAAAAGCGTCAGCTAAATGCAATGTAATGTAATGTTGTTTATACTTAAACTTTACAAAAAAACATTTAAATGCACAACTTTTTTTAACAGTGTTCCAAAATACTTAAAGGTCCCATGTCATGGCCATTTCTACTGATCATAATTCCATTGTTGAGGTAGTAAATAGATTTATACTGTGCTATTTTCCAAACTCACATTGGTCTCTCATACAGCATCTCTGTAAAGTATGTGTATTCACTCTCTGTCCTAAACGGCTTGTTGGAGCTCCTGCCCCCCCCCTGTGAGCCCAGTGTGCTCTGATTGGTCGGGAAGTTGCAAGGCTCGTTGCTGCGATCTGCTGCGAGGAGCGGACAGGCTTCCGGGTCGGCGATACAGCGAGAACAAGCTAANAATCCGTGGAGCCGTTACGTTAAGTCCGCGGAGCCGTTACATTAACTTCCTCACACACACACACACACACACACACTCAATCTTTTCTCAACTGCAGCTCCGCCGATTTCTCCTCCCTGAGACGGCGGGACGCGGCGAGGCTGTGAGTCGGTGTGTGTTTGTGTTCGGGCTGGTTTCGTGCTGGGTTTCGCTGTGTCTCGCTGTCTCGCAGACGGCCACTGGGCTCACAGGGAGGGGGGGGCAGGAGCTCCAACAAGCCGTTTAGGACAGAGAGTGAATACACATACTATACAGAGATGCTGTATGAGAGTGAGTTTGGAAAATTGCAAAATAAATCTATTTTAGTATACCTCAA